TTCTCCCCTTTTCTTTCCCCCTTCTCCCCCTTCTCTCTCCTCTTACTTCTCCTCCTCCCTCTTTCTCCCTTTCCTCTTCTCCCCCTTTCTCTCTTCTCTTCCCCCTTTCTCTCTCCTCTTCCTCCTCCTCATGGAAAGCTGCCCCTTAAAGAGAACCCTTCCTCCCCCGCCTGTTTTTGTCCTGGTAAGTTTATAGTATCTTACTTTCACGAATGCCAGGGCCACCCAGTTTCCTCCTTCCCTTCTCCCGGTTTGCTCTCTCGCCGGAGCCCTGCCAGGCGGGTGAAGAGGGACACCCTGCTCTCGCTTGCCCCTCCCGCTGGGCAGGGGTTTTAACCGGGGGGGGGGCTCCACTGCCTTCAGAACCCCCCTGAGGCACCCGGGGTCTGCATCGTGTCCCTGAAACGGAATTTCTCTCCTACAGAGAATCGAAGAAATAATGAAAAGGACGCGGAAGGCCGAGCAGAGCGACGCAAAAGTAAGCATTTCTCTTGCCTCTGCCCGGGCAGCTGAGCTGCTTTGGACCCTTATTTATCTGCAAATAATTCCCCCCACCCTCCAAGTGCCCCCCACCCTTCATATTGATCTGCCTTGGCAGCCGGCACAAAGCTGGTGCGTTTTGAAAGGCAGGAAACGCCAATACCTGATGCTCCATATCATAACGGCTGCTAGAATTACTTGTGCCCAAAATTGGAAGCACACAACACCCCCACACACACACACCAGAAACCATAATAATGAATAAAGTGCATGAATGTGCGGAGATGGATAGATTAATGAAGTTATTGAAAGATAAGGAAGAAGGAGAATATTATAAAGTATGGGACGTCTGGTACGAATGGATAAGGAAAAGGAGTTGAATGATAATTTTGTAACGTCATAAAACAATAAGGTTTGCGTGTAAATAAATGTAAATAAAAGCGTATGTATGTATGTATATATAATGCTTAAAACGATGAAGAAATAAATACAAAGATGTACAACACGTTAATAGAAGTGAAATGCTTTAGCAAAGTTGTAAAAGGTGAAAATTTGTTTTTAACTGCCGAAACGTTGAATAAATACATTTATAAAATAAAAAAATGAAAGGCAGGTCCCCGAGGGGTTTCTGGGAGCTTGTAAAAGGTACGGAGAGTAATTGGGATCGAGTTGATTGGTGGACTTAATCTCAGGCAGGTCCTCAGGTAGCGGCCACCTTGTTTAGCGGCACATCTAATGTTCCCTCCTGCCTTGCAAAAGATTATTTTCCGTTTCTCTTATCGCAGAATGAAGATAAGTCGAATGAGGAAGATGAGGACATTGAAGAAGATGAAGAGCGCGGTCTTGAAAAGCAAGACCAGCCAGGTAGGTCTGTAGCCGGTGAGGCTTCCTTGTCTCTCCTCGCCTTTGCAAACTTGGTGTAAGCTCTCAGGGTTTAGGGAAGAGTCCAGAAATACAGGTGGTCCTTGCCTTACAACAGTTCAGATAACAGATAATCAGAGTTGAAAGGGACTTGTAGAGCATCTAGTCCAACCCCCTGCCCAAGCAGGAGGCTTTATAGATGGTACTAGTACCTCCCTTGCTCTTGATTGTATCCCTCCGTTAATGCAACTTAGGATTGCATTGGCATTTTTGGCTGCTGCTGCTGCACACGGCTGGCTCCTATTTAGCTGGTTGTCCACTAAGACTCCAAGATCCCTCTCCCAGTTTCACCCAGTCTATATGTGTCCTTTTGGTTTTACTTGCCCAAGTGTAGGACTTTACTGATTGTTCAACAACTCTTTAACTCCCCCTTACAGAAAAGTCGAAATGCGAGGACTTCTGTCTCGAAGACGGCTCGGAGGCCTTGTGCCATTTTACTTTGCTGCAAGAAGACTCGAAAATGGGAGCAGACGACGTCTTCCTCAATGGGAATAAACAGGAGGAAGAGGAGGAGGAGGAGAGAAGGGAGGATGGGCCCTCCCTGTATTTCAGCCAGTCAGTAGAAACCAGGTAAAAGTCTACGCAGGATTCCCTGTCATCCAGGTCTGGTTGTCCCAAAGGTGCGTTTTTTTTTTCAAGAAGCAGCTGGACATTTTTGCTTCTCATCCAAGAAGCTTCTTCAGCTCTGATTGGATGGTGGGGAATGGAAGGATTTGTATTCCTTGCAGACAGCTGGTCATTTGCCTCCTTTTGGAGAGCCGTTGAGGCCACCTGGACGCTTATCTGTGTCCTTCAGGATCACCTGAGTGGCGCAAATGGATGTGGGGCCTTCTTGGAACTGTTGAAAGATACAACACAGTCCTTTCAATGATTCCAAGAAGGCTCCACATCCATTTGCGCTGCTCAGGGAACCCTGAGATAGACCTCCAAGTGGCCTCAACGACTTAACTGGAGAGCATGAGTGATGATTCTTGGCTATGGATGTGTCCCATTGGAGACAATGGACTATAATACACCCAGGGGGTGAGCGGAAAACCAGGATCAAGGCTGACAAGGAATGATGTGTCTCAGAGTCTGCTACACCCAAGTAGCACCGGCATGTTTACACCTAATAAATCCTCTTTAAGCTCTGAAAATCTGGCTAGAGATTCGTCATTTAAATAAGGGTAACTACCAGACACCTGACCCCCTTTTCTCTTCCCAGTATTCCAGCCAAAGGACCGGTCATCGAGACCTCTGAAATCCTGCACGTGAACGAAGCCGACCGCTCCATGGGCTTTATCCCAAACTTTAACGGGAAGCCTTCCACGTGGAATTTCGAAGAAATCATCGATCTCACGGTGCATCCTAAGACAGGCAGGCTTAGTTCAGAGAGCATCGCGGCTGAGGTGCCAGGCCAGAAGTTAAGAGACGGCGTTCCGTTACCAGCAAGCCCAAAGCTGGCGTTTGAGGAGGACGGTGGCAGGAATCCCTTGACCAAACCCATTGAGGCGGCATCAGGTAAGGGGCATTTATCGCAGCCCTGAAGATGTTTCTTCGGACCTGGCCTGTTTTGTGCACTAGGTGTCAACTCATAAAATATTTCTATGGTCTTTTTAGAGTTGCCAACCCCAAAAAGGGTTGCAAGAAATAATTGGTTCCAAAATAGAACTTAAGCCTGAAAGTGTCCTTACTAGAGATAATCAAAGGTGACTATAAGAAAGACATTGAATATATAACAATACATATACTAACAGCAGGTAGAATAACGTATGCCCAAAATTGGAAATGAGAGAGTAATCCCACAGATAATATAAAGAAAATTATGGATTGTGCAGAAATGAATAAACTTACAATGGAATTGCAGGAGAAGGAAGAAAAAGAATATGATATGGTCTGGGAAAAATGGTATGTTTGGTTAGATAACAGGAATAAAAGATAATGCAAAATGTAAGTATAAATGATGTGTGTGTATATATGCGTGTATGTGTGTGTACAAGTATATATGTGTGGGTGTATATACATGTATGTATGTATGTATGTAAAAGACAACGGAAAAGTCAATGCCACAACTTACTGCAATCTTTCATTATTCTCTTATTTAATGTTTTAATGTGTTGTTTTTGTATCAAACCAATTTCTACAAATTCTCTCCCTTTTGAACAGAACTGTGAACACTACAACCCGGGAAGGTTCCTGAAGGCCACGCCAGGATGCGCAGGGCTCCTCCAGGCAGGCAGAAAGGCCTCGGTTTGGGGAAAAAAACTACTTGTCAACTCCACATTTCTCTCCCGCAACAGCCCCTCCCCCTTCGCCGATCTGGCTTTGCCCCTTGAAGTGTCGCAAAGCAGGAAAGCCGGGGAGTTGTTTCCCTGTTGCTTTGTCCTCCCTCTTTAACGAGATTTTTGCTTTTTTTAAAACACAAAAAAACACGAAACAACCCATTTGTTCTCCTTTGGATGAATTGTTCCGTCCATTGCGGTTGCTCCTTTAATATTCCTCCCCGTTTTCGCCAGTAAACACGGCGGCTTGTACCAGAGACGTTAACAAGCTAGCATTCGCCCAGGATAACCCCCCCCCATCTGCAAGATAACACGGTTTAATCCCATGTATATTTAAAAAAACAACAACCCCAAAACAGAGTCAATGTCACGCGTTCCCCCCTCGCGCTTGTTGTTTCGGGCGGAGCGATGGTTACTTCGAATTTAACTTGAATATCTAAAAATGTAGCACCTCACTCTAGAACCAGTCCTTTTTGGGTCAGATCATTTCTCAGCTTCCAAACAAAATGAACACCAACCTCTCGATTGTCTCTACCAACACTTGAAAGCCAGCGCTTGTTCCGGATGGACGGGGGATTTTTCAACACTCAACAGGGCCCCCCCAAAGTCGGACAGCGCTCCATTCTGTTGCCTTACGCAGCTCTCTCTGGGGCCAGCCCCCTCTCTCCTCCGTGTTGCAAGGGGGGCTCAATGGAGACCCCTCCGGCGAAGTTTGGCTCACCAGCACAAGGTGGGTGTGTAGACGAGCCCTGAGATCTGGGGTGTGTTTTCGCGCAGGGTGTAAGGAAGGAGGCGAGTCCTACAGCTGCAGAACCCCCCCCCCGAGACCACATGCTTTTAGGAGAGAGGGGGGCAGAACATCTTACCTTATTTATCTATTTTTATTCATCGACGTGCGTCCTAGTAGGTGGCCTTCAGTCACACCACGCTATGGCTTTTTCAAGCCATCGCGCACCGCGGCGTCCCTCTCCGGTTTGCCAAACCGAGCGTCCCTCCTGCTCTGAAATTCGTAGCAGCCTCAAACAGGAGCTCTTGGCAGCCTTCCCCCGCTCCCCGCCTCGGTCCTGTTGGGTGGGTCGGCGTCCCGAACTGCTAAACCCCCCCGCGGTTCAACGTTGAACCTCCCCCCCGTCCCCGTTAAGTGTTATATTTATGTGTGAACACAATAACCAGTATTAAACCCCGACTGAAGGTGCTCGTTCCTCTCTGAATTGCACTCCAGGTTTTTTCCTCTTCTAGCTTTAACTCACCGCTTGCCTCCGGCCGATGAAGTTGAGGCTGTGCGTTCAGCCCAGCAGCTCGATATATAGATGTTTTTTTTTTGCCTAGCGAAAGAAGGAATGAAGCTTTCTGCAAAGCCGTAGAAAAGAGAGCGGCCTTAGAAAGGCCCGCGTCCCGCTTCTCTCACCCCCTCCCCAGGGCCCTCCCTCCGCCCCCCAGTTCCCAATCTCTTCAAAGAGCTTTCCTCTCGAAACAACTGTGAGACCCCCCCCCCCCCCAGTTCCCCAAACCCCTTTCTTCTCTTGCAAAGCCAGCTCCTCAGTCTCTTTTCAAGCCCAGATGTTCCCCGTGAAGCCATTTCTGGGAACGCCTCAGACCTCTTTCCCTCCTCCGTTAAACTACCCAAGCCAGCCTCGTCCCCACAGGCTTTCTTCCCCCACCCCCCACATCCCCTCGCCAAGGTTTTAGAATGATTCCCCCCCCATAGAGCAGTGCCTTAGGTGGAACTAACATATACTATTTTTATACAACATCTCTTGGGATCCCAAACAGAGACAATCATCCGAACACGCATGCAATGATGGCGCTCCTATTTTTTTTCTGCGCAAACTGAGACCCGTTGAATGCTTCGTTAGTTGTATGTAAATACGTATGCGCTGTTAATAAACTTTGCAATTGGAAGGGCTTTCTGGTGGCGAGTGGTTATTCAGAGGGGGAAGAACGCCCCAAAATGTATTTGGCTTTCAAAAAAAAAAAAAAACCCCAAATGAATGGAAGTATTATCACTGAATGTCTAGGGAGATTTCTCAGTCATTTGGGTCCTGGTTGTCCCAAAGGTGCTTTTTTTCTTTTCTTCTAAAATCCATTTGTTCTTCAGGATTATAGACAGAAGAAAAAAGGAGGCGGGAAAAGAGGGGAAAAGAAGGCGTGTGTGATGACCCAAGGGGGCGTGGCACAAAGGCAACACAGTCAGATAATCCGTAGGAATCCCTTTATTAGCTCCAACTTTGCCCCCAATGTCCTGGTTACCTTCTGGCAGGAACAGCCTTTGGCTGCAGGGAGTCAAGTCCAAAACATGGTCAACAAAAACTGTAACTATAAGTCCAATCAAGGCAAGATGAGATAATTAATCCAGCAGGGCAGGAGCAAGAATTCCAGACATGAAGGCACGGCAATAATTCAACACACTTGGGAAGACACCAGGAACACAGATAACGAAAGACAACACAAGATAAACTCAAGTTTGTTCCCAGCAGCTGCTGCACTCAGCATGCATCTCTTTTAAACTCTCTTCCCAACTGCAGCTAATGAAGGGAATCAGGGCCCTTTCCTCCCCCGTAAGCCATGCAGCTCACGTTGCTCCCTTCTCCCTTCTCCAAAGCATGCCCTAGGATGAAGAGGGGGTGGGCCTGGGTCTTACTCTGAATTCCGTCTCCCTTGTTCTACCTCTGCCCAGCCGGACTCTGCCCTTCCCCAGTTTCCTTCACAGCCAACGGAGCCACACTCCCTGTCAGCTGTTCGTCTTCCTCCTCGGATTCAAGCTCTGATAGGAGCATGACAGCATGGTTTTAAAATTGAGGACATCCCAGTGAGGGTTTTGTGTGGTCAACCTCTCACTGGAGGATGGAAGAACAGCAAATGTTTGTCTCAACCAGCTTCGAGTGATTTGACACCGTCTGAATTGCCCGTTCTGTATAGCAAAAGATAACTAGAAAACACCACGCCAAATCGAAATAAGCAGTAACTTCCTGTTTATTGGAGGAAAGGCCTTGGTACAAGAACAAGAATTGCAGTTATGTCACCCTTATCGCTGAAGCTCCTGTGCCGCATCTCGGGCTGAGAACGGTGCCCAAGTCGACAAAGGCCCGTTTGGGGGGTGAACGGAAGAAGCGATTAATCTGGCAGCTTGCTTTTTGCTTTCCAGCAGAGTTAAAAGTATTAAAATGGATGGCTAAATAAGGTTATTCTAAAGTCAGCAGTGGCCGTTCCTGGGAGTTTAAACACTGGTTAAAAATAAGCTACCTTTGATGTGCCTGCTCTCTGCGTCGGAGGCAAGGAAAGAAAGCGGGATTTTGCAATCTCTCGTGTGGGTTAATATGGAGGCAAACCGAAGAAAAGCACCGAACGATTATCTGAACTAGCAAATTGTAGGGTGAAGTCAGATGGCCACTTGGATCAACAGGTAGTCCTTGCTTTACAGCCAGACTTGGGGGATCAGACTTGTGCAGAACAAGGCAGTTATTAAATGCGATCTTTTCGGCCGTGACGTTTAAGCAAAACCACCACAGTCGTTAAGTGATCGTTGAGCGAATCTTGACTTTGCTTGTCGGGAATCATCTGGGAAACATCAAAACGGTCCCTAAACGAATGGTTGTAAGTCAAGGATTACCTGGGTTTCTTTCAAGAAAGGTTGCTTTCTCTGAAAACTACGTATTGGAAGAGCATCCGATGTTTGCTGCTTCAAATGTCTCAGCACCGACAAAGTCAATATTTAGGCGTAGGATGGATATTTGGGTAAAAGGCACGGAAATCTTTGAAGCTCTCGACAACATTGTGTATTTTTTAAAAAATAGTGGTTGTGTTTACAAAAGTAATTTGGGGCCGAGCACCACTGAATTAAAAGGGTCCTTGGACCACAACATCACAGCCGTAGGAGCCAAAAGTTGAATTAGCCAGTGAGAAGGCTGTTCCACCGATGCAGCGTTGTCTTCTCTATGGACCAGGAATGTTTTCAATGGATGTCCAAGAGAAGAGAGGTGCCTTCCCCCCCCACCCCAAAAGAAGAAGAAGGTGCCCACAAGGGGTCTGTAGCAAGCTGAGGGCGCTGCACATCAAGAGAACAAATGGGCACCTCTTTATCCAGTCTGGTTTTTTTGAGCCACCAGATCCTTGCAAGCCTCTTTTTCTTTTTAATGGCTTTGCAAACGGGATGTACCCCAGGAAGGGAGATGAGGAATTGCTCCGAAAAAGTAGCCATGTGAATTCACCCTTGCGAAGCTGCTAGACCCCCTAAGTGGCAGGTGCGCAAAAGCCAGGAGTAGCAGCGACTCTACGTTGGATGTGTAAGATGTAGCCTGCCCCTCTGCAGAAGGCACGAGAGCAGAGCTCGCTACGGCAGTTAGTCAACCCTTTATTGGACATGACCTGCACAGGAATTGGGGAAAAGGGGAAGGGGGGTGGGTGGGGAAGAGCCTTAACATCCTTTAGAAAAGCAAAAAGAGGGGTGGGCTTTGGGGAGAAGGGTGGAAGCTACAACGCAAATGCCTAACAGCCTGGCCACTTGCAAGCTGAGAGAGATCTCCATGCTGTTTCGCAGGAAAAAGCTGAGCGGTTCCTGCGGCTTGCCCTTCGCTTGGCCTTCCTTTCTTACAGCTTCTTGGCACAGTTGGGGCAGTAGACTTGCTCCAGGTGGAAGACGAAGGGTTTGTTGGCCAAGGGGATGGAACACTTCTTGCAGTTGAAGCAGTACTCATGCCAGGAGTGGCCTTCGTGGCTCACCACGTTGGTGCCTTTTCCAAAGCCTGAAGAGAGAACATTGCACGGTGAGGGAGCCAAGGAAGAACCTTCCCACCACGTGGTCCGCCTAGAACCCTTCAGCGGGTTCTCCGTGGCCTACCTGTAATGGGGTTCTTGCAACCGTTGCATTTCTTAGCCACAAAAGACTTGTAGCAATCCACGCAGTAGAAGAGGTCTTCCACCGCAGTGAAGCGTTGTCCGCCCAGCTTCTTGGTGCAAGTGGCACACACAAAGCACTCGGCGTGGTAAGGCTGATCCTGGTAGGAGACTCCTCCGGAAGTGATGGCCTTTAAAAGCAACCAGCCAGACAACCATCAGTGTGGAGTTTGCAGAGTGGAATAAATGTTACCACTGAGCCCAGAATTCACAATAAGAATATATCTGCTGAATGAAACTCCGCATTGGTGACAGGAAGGGCATCCCGCCAGTAACCACTCAGCTCCATTCAGTTGCCCAGACGCCACCCCGCAAGGGATTTTGGGGTCATTAAAAGAAAATGATGGTGATTGATCCCAGAATTCCCCAGCCAAACATGAATGATAGACTTGGAACAGGCCGGAAGGATCACCTAGACCGGAGTTTCTGAACCTTGTCAACTTTAAGACTTGTGGACTTCAAGTCCCAGAATTCCCCAGCCAAACATGAACGATAGAGTTGGAACGGGCCAGAAGGATCACCTTGACCGGAGTTTCTGAACCTTGTCAACTTTAAGACTTGTGGACTTCAAGTCCCAGAATTCCCCAGCCAGCATGGCTGGCTGAGGAATTCTGGAAATCGAAGTCCACAAGTCTTAAAGTTGCCAAATTTGGAGTTCCGAATAACTAAGGGACTTTCAACTTCATAGTCTCATATCTATCGATCAGAAACAGAGAGGAAGAAGTAATTGAACACAAGAAAAATGCAGCGAAGACGCCCCAGACTTACATTCTTACACTTCACACAATTCTTGGCAAACTTTTGCTCGTGGCAGGAAACGCAGTACATCTCATCTCCTTTGGGGAAGAAACTGGCGGTGCCAATCACTTTCTTGCACTGGCTGCAAATGAAACAATCCTTGTGCCAGACGGTCTTCTTGTACTCCACGTTCTGATCACCTGGGAAGAGAGAACAAAATAAGATAAATACATACATAAATAAAAATAAAACGGAAGGTCCAAGATGCAAGATCTCCAGGGCTGTGAACAACAAAACCTGGAATTGCCACTAGGTGTCCACCAGACCACGGGTGATGTCCCTGGAGAAGGCCCATGATTCTAAGCACAGGGGACTTTCCCACTCCAGAAATTGGAGAGGGGTCGAGCTATTTGCCTGCTTTCTTACGCCTCCAAAATCCTTTGCATCCTGAAAGTCCAAGTGAAGGAACACCAGGAGAAGGAAGACATGGACATCATCAGAAAATCTCATTCCTGCCTAGGATTGGCAGCGACAGGGCCTCCATGGTGCTCTACCGTCTGACTTTTTCAGGATGCCCAGACTGGCTTTTCACTTTTCAGGGAACTGGGTTCTCACGTTGCGTTAAAGCAGGGAAGGCAACCTAGATCCGCTGAAGGACAGCACAGCCTCATGGCTGTTCTCCAGATCTGGATGAAGAAGACAGGTCCCATTTGTGGATGGGGGGAAATCGGGTGTTTTAAGGGGTGAAAATGGGCACCTATTTTAAGGCCCCCTAAAACCCAACAGTGCAAAGAGGGGGTGTCTTGTTTGATCCTATTTATTTTGGGGGCACATGTGGATGACGTTCTCCTGCAGTTGGTCTTATGAAAGGCTCAGCCTGTTAATAAGGTTTAACTCTTGGATGAGACCCTCCAGAAATTCCCAAGTCTGTATTGTTATTTGGGGAGACCAACATTTGCCATTGCAAACGACAAAACTTTCCCAGGTGGAGGTGTTGAAGAATCAACCTCAATTCAAAGAGAGCTTACCTTTCCTAAGCCACAGCTGGCTGAATAAGCCACAGTGGGCAGGGTTCAGCCCAAAGAAGTCCTATTAGACCTTCCCACGATGGCTGAACCAGCCCACCTCTCCCCAAGGTAGAGACTGCTCCGGGATCAAGGAAGACGACACCCCCCCTCCCCCATGGAGGAGACCGGCCCCTCCTGGCACCCTCACCTGCCACAATGGGCTTCTGGCAGCCTTTGCATTTAGGAGCATCCTCGTTGGTGGTGCATTTGTTACACCACACCTTGTTGTTCTCCTTCAGCATGAAGGGTTCATTCACCAGAGATGTGGAACACTTGAAGCAGCGGAAACAGTTGTCATGCCAGTAGCGGTTCTTGAAGTGCAGCTCCTGAGAGAGCAAGAGAGAACATTTTGAAAGAGGTCTTTGTCCCAAGGGCAAAAGGGGCGGGGGGGTCTACACCCCAAACCTTTTGGGTATAGTCAATCCAGAGAGGAATCTGAGCTCAATCAATCCAGAGCAGAAATAAGATCTTCTGCACCAACAGTGGTCCAAGATGGATAACGGAGCCATCATGGCTTCTTAATGAAAGGTTATTCCAATGGGTTAGGGTGTTGGGATATCATGCTTTCTACGAGGTGCCCCACGACTCCAGGAGAGTGGTCAGTAGGTGACAGAATCACTCCATGATTCTGCCATGGTAGCCAGCGGTAGGCAGAAAAGAATGGACCTTCTGCACTCTTTTTAATACGTTCTCCAAGAGGTTGCTTATTTTAAGAGGGATAGGATAGATTTTAAGGGACACAATGGGTGCGTTGAGCCTCTCACAAAAGCTTCCGGTCATGTATTTACCCTACGGAATCCTGAAAAATTCTCTGGAGTACAGTTTTGAGCTGAAGAAGGTTGAACACTTCTGATTGAGCTCAATGGGAACCCAGCTTTTGTGCCTCCTTGGAAATCTCTTGGATCATTTTGGCCAGAGCCACATATCACCCATTGTAGAATTAAGGACTCTACGTTGGTAGTTACGGCCATACTTTATCATGCTGGTCTAATCCAGGTTTGTGGATAGATGGTTTTTCAGCTTCCTAGTCTTAGATTTGGAGAGAGGGACAGGCGCAAGGTCATCCAGCAGACTTCAATACCTACACGAGGACTCAAATCTGTGTCTCCCTTCACTAGTGTATCAAACCAGCTTTCACACAAAGCAGAACTCAACAAACCGTACAATTGTAAGAATCCATTCCGATGAGCTTTATTATAATATCAAAAGAAGTCCATTCGGTAACACACAAGGTCCATCGGCCAACTCAACAGTCCAAATCTCTCACTCGGGCTGCTCTCTTGTCAAGAAAATCACACCATTATCCAAAGGACCCCACCCAGCCTGTACTGATTTGGGGGGCTGACCGTTGCAACTAGGGGCATTCCAGCTTTATCCCCTACCTTGGAATCAGCCCCAATGGGCTTCCGGCACTCGGCACAGGTGTTGGCGCAGAACTTCTCAAAGCACTTGACACAGCAGTGGCGTCCTTCCTTCTGCACGTACTTCTTCCCGTGCAGTGCGGCGCGACAATAGTGACAGTCAAAGCGCTCGGACATGGTGCCCACGGTGTAGCTGCTGGGACCTGCAGTGAGGCAGAAGACAACGTGGCAGAGTTGAGGGCCGTAGGATGCCTTGGGCACCCCAGTGGGCCATTATTCAAGACAAGACAACGGTTGGCCCTGTTCTCACAAAGGGGCTGGTGCCCATCGGAAAACGGGGCCCAACCAAACCTGGCAATGAAGCGCTGAAGGTGAGGTTGGGCCCCAAAGAACCGTGGGAGATGCCACCTTCCCGTGGACTCTGTGGACTGTCTTCCCCCTCTCCATGTCTTCAGCAGAGAGGACATTATGAGAAGGTCCTTCAAAAGTCCAGCACTTCAGCTTGTTGGCCATTTCACTTCCCAACCCCTGACTCCGCCCCACCCCACAGCCACATGGGTTAAAACCTTCATTCTATCAATCGATCGATCAATCGATCACAGATGGTATATCCTTTGATTCGGGAACGTCTACATGTTAATGAAGCTGCTTCTGGTTGGGTTCTTTGCACAAGCCCAGCCTTGTATTTCCTCATTGTGTACCCCACTGTTGCTTGTCATGCTGACTACGTTCGCAATGGACAACAGCAGACACCACAGAACCTCCTTGCGTGGTTGAATCAGCACGTTGACACTCTCCTCGTGACAAGCTTCTCTGAGTATGACAGGATTAGCTCAGCATGACAAGGTGAACATAGTGGGACCGTGGGTTTCTTTTTTTTTTCTTTTTCTTTTTGCTCATGGAAGATTCATTGACATCTGGGTTGAAGACCAACCTGGAAGGTGGCCAGGTCCTATCTAGTGAACTGGGCCAGGCTGTGACTGGGAGCTGTGAAGAGGTATAAGAGGAAGCGGTCCAGAATCCCCATTGGATGGGATTCTGTCTACTACACTGTGTTTACACAGTGTAGCAGACACTATGTAGTGAGCACAATGGGGATTCTACTACATTGTGTCTGCTACATTGTGACTGCTACAACACTGTGCACTATAAATTATAGTGCTAACAGGAGACAATGAGACAATATTTTTTGCATCACCAGGGAGCGCTAAAAAAATCTCCCCGCTCCTTGTCTTCTCCTGATACTCAACAAAGCCACATCCACAAGTCAGCAAAGCAAGGAAGTTTCATTTAATTGTTCCTGACTACTAGAACAGAGCAAAACTGGCTCTGCCTCAACACACCCACATCCGATAAAAGGCCCCAACTGCTCTTAACCACATCCTTCCTCTCTGGTCATAAGGACCGGAAACTTGATAAGGCTGCTGCTTATCATAGATAGATTTTAAGAAAGGGGAAGTAGAAGAATAAAAGCCTGACAGATAAAAAAAAGAAGAAGAAGAAGAAGAAAGTCCTTGGACATGTTGTGTTATTGGCGAGCACAGAATTGGGCTGAGCTACTCCTGCGGTCTTCTGTGAAAACCATAAGCACCTTGAAAGAATAAAGGGGACAAGAAGAATGTGGCTGGCTGGAAAACATGGGAAGTTTCAGTCTCAGGTTGAGGAAGCCTACTGAATGCTCCCCCAAACTCAACCGGTTCTGAAAAGTTGGGGATCTCTGAATTTAAGAGCATAGCTGCAAGTGTCCTGTAGTTGTGCTTCCCTAGAGTCCACCTGACCAAGGTGCCAAACAGCTTCTGATCCCAAGAAATGATTTAATGACCACAGCATCTGGTTGGAGATGGAGGTCCAGAAGGACCCACTCCTCCCTTCTCTTGATCTGTCCCAAGCTTCCAACCATGTTCTTATCAACTCAGTTGGCCATCCATCACCACCCTCACCTCGCCGGTCAAATAAGGAACCACGGAAAGACAAGAGCCGTCGTGGCTCCTTCTTTCCCAAAGTGCCATTTTCCCTGAGCTGATCGTTTGGGACCAATTTATGCCCTTTCTTAAAAGCCAGGCTAGATTCTAGACCTCCCGATGGGGCTCACCGTTCAACAACCGCCGTTCCTGTAACCATTCACATGGGGTGGTCATTGGGTCACAAGCCAGACACGCACAGCATGACCAGGGAAGACAAAGAAAACCAAGCTAGCAAACCTAGCCAAGGGTGTTAACTGCCAACTCATTCTTTCCCTCCAGCAGTCTAAAAATAGGGCAATTACCCCATTGTTTTCTTGACTCGTGTGCCCTTTAACTGGGTGACTCGGAATTTGGCCTTGCTATATAAAGGGTGTTGTATCCTAGCAACAGGGGGACAGCCCACTCTCTCTCCCTTCCACAGATGGGAAGGGCAGGGCTGATCAGGAGAGCCCCCCCACTGCAGGATGTGCGCCCACAAAAGGATTCCTTCCAAGTTTTAGGGAGGCGGGGAGAAGGCACCACTAAGGGAGGTGAACTCTGTGGTCCTCCAACATGGAGGAGGAGGAAGAATGAATGGGAGTGTGGCTTCTTTTTTAAAAACAAAATAAATTCTGGCAAGCAATCGGAGCCGAGTTCACACGTTACACCAATTAAGCGGTGGTTTTGTCAACGGTGGTTTATTGAGTTGGCTGCACTGGGGCAAGTTTGCTGTGGGGTTAAGCCCGGTGGAACATCTAAGCCAAGTGAAAGTAGACCAGCAAGCAACCATCCTATGAAGATCTTTATCCTGGGAATTGAGCTTCTCACGGGGCTTTTCAAGGAGGCTGTTTCTGCTGGAATGGATGTTTTTTTTTTTAATGGTGCCCGTTGAGATTACGCGTTTTTCTTGTCTAATATTTTAGCTGCGTTTCTAAGCCATGGGATTTTTTTTAAAAAAGGAGGTTTTAATTGTCTTAGCCATGCCTCTACAAGTTTGGAAGAGCATGAGATGTGCGCATGAGACATTTGGGAAGAAAAACTGCAGACCTGAACAGACCCTCCCACGCTAGATTTACAGTCTTTCTTTGAGTCTCTCTTGAGGTATGGCTGAGAAAAAGGGAAAGCCCTTTCCAAGAGGAAAGAGAGAGAGAGAGAGAAAGAAAGAAAGAAAGAAAGAAAGAAAGAAAGAAAGAAAGAAAGAAAGAAAGAAAGAAAGAAAGAAAGAAAGAAAGAAAGAAAGAGAGATGGAGAAGGAAGGAAGGAAGGAAGGAAGGAAGGAAGGAAGGAAGGAAGGGAAGGAAGGCAAGGAAGGAAGGAAGGAAGGAAGGAAGTGCATGGCAACCCCAGAGAACGAAATATATTCTTTTCTGAGTATCTAAAGATGCATTATTAATCCATGTGAGCAGAAGAAGGGATGAAGCAAAGAATGAGATGCTCACTACATACAGCCCAGGGAGCAAAAAAAAATAATCCAACTATTCATTATTCACTATTAATGTTCACGTTAAAACAAGTTTCTAGCCTACAGGATTAAGAAGTTTGGTTCGGGAGTCTTTAAGGGGGAAGGTGGGTGGCCCTGCAGAAAAGTTAGAGCCAGCAAGGCCAGCAGTGGGGATCAATACTCAAATCAATGAATGAAAAGATGCCAATAATTGGGGCCAGGTACAGAATCCAGAGTCTCCTTGCACAAAACCCTGAAATCAAGTTAAACCCATGTTTGTGGCCGTCACAGACCAGCATAAACTGGGGCAGGAACACGTTGGTTAAAGGCAGGCGCTGAGGCATAAAACATACGGAGGGCTATCAATACGATTTGGAAGATCTATCAAATGTGGGGGGGTCAAATGAGAGCAACCAAAAAAACCGTCCCTTGCTAGCGGAAAAATGCTTCAGGACAGGAGCATTCGCTGTGCCTCCGTGCTGCTGGTTGGCTGGTCGTTCAAAATCTTGGCCATTCAGGTGTAGCATTTTGCCTGCAATCCCATTTGAAAATCCAAAATAAAACATTGTGCAGGAGGCATCTAACCCCGGACTGTGCCGTGTCATGTCGCACACACACCGGTTTTCCATTTTAATTCCATCCCTCAAAGACCTTTTCTCTTGCAATCTGGCAGAGAAAGTTGGGGGGGGGGGCTATTTTCAGAAAGGGGGCCAGCCAGAGAGCAACTAGCCAAGGTGGAAATGAATCCAAACCCTGAACAACAGACCCTCTGGGATTTTCCGCACCCTGCAACCATGGTTAAAGAATTGGCTTTGATCGGCCTGAATTGGGGCTTTTTGTTTCTGAGCTCCCATTGACCTAACCAGGTAGAATAAAACGGCTGAAGGAAACAAGCCAGGATCAAGCCAGCTTTATAGCTCATCCGTCTGACTGACTGATTCTGTCTTAGCTGGGGGGCCCGTCTAAGACTGGATGTCTCCAGGGGTCAGGGGTTGAATTTCATTCAAGCAAAACTGCACAAGATTTTTTTAAAAAACCGCTTCTTCCAAAATCCTCCGTCGTCAGGTTTGTTTTTCTTATTTTTAAGAGCGGTATAGAAGTATTTTAGTTTTTGGTTTGGGGGTTTTCTTTTTTTGCAAAAAGCAAAGAACGATCACAACGTAGGCTAAGCACGCCTGCATTCAAACTCCAAAAAGAAAAAAGAAAAAAATCGGTGCAGAATCCTTCTCAGCAGCCTTAAGAGCTTCCTGCGACTTTCTGAAAACCCCCTTCCCGAATCCAGGATGAGGGACATTCGGATCCAGGAGGGCTGGCCACCGAAGCAAATGTGCTCCCACAGGTGACTTAAGCAGCTGAGGTGGCATTATCTATTCCCACCGTGCCACACCGGTTCTGGTGCCCCCCTCCGCCCCCCCACCCCCGGTTACCTGAGTGCCGGTGGTAAGCCATGCTGGTGGAAGGGTGAATCGGACTTGTGGCCGGACTGGATTGAGAGAAGGGAGCTGTTGGACGACCTCCCACTCAGATCACCGGCATTTACTGAAGACAGGCTATTAATACGGGGGGCCAGGGCTTCCCACAGATGTCCACACCCCCTCGCCCTGGCCTGTGGACCTCGTCCCACTCAAAACATCTTACCATTTTAGGAGATCTCGAGGGAGAAGAATAGAGCCGATGGAATGAAGTGCCTGCTACATATAAATACCTGCCGACTTCAGGCTCCAAAACTCTTTAAAATGCCTGAAGGAACCTGAGACGCCAGAATCGGCTGCAAAGACTGGCTGGGCTCAGCATCTTGAAGAGGCTACACACCACATAATAAAAGATTACTGATGGGGGGGTGGGGCTGACAGACCCCTGGCCCCGCGGCTGGGCAGGCGTGTGTCATGTGGACCAGGAGGAAAACTGGGGGGGGGGGGGAGCTCCTCAAAGCATGGGCTCGGGGCCCAAGAGACACCCCCACGCACAAATGTTCACGTTGAGGTGTCTAATCGGACTTTGAAGACAATCGGCCCTTGTTTCGTTTTAGTTGGCTCTAAAGGTTAAAGGAGATGAATTCACCCAAGAGTTTTGAAGGAGCCCAGTGAAAACAGGGCGGTGGCTCTGATAGATGAGGCAGATAACAGATAAGAAGACAGAGAGATAGATGATAGATGATGATAGGTAAGTAGGTAGATAGATATAGAGATGATAAATAGATAACAGGGAAATAATATAGATATATAGAGATGATAAATAGATAATGACAGATAGATAAATATAGAGATGATAAATAGATACTAGAGAGAGATCATATAGAGATGATAAATAGATAATAGATGATATAGAGATAAGAGATACAAATGATAAATAGATAATAGAAAGATAGATGATATAGATATAGATATGATAAATAGATAATGATAGAGATAGATGATATAGAGATGATAGATATAAATAGATAATGATAGATAGATACAGAGATGATAGATGATACAGATGGATATAGAGATGATAAATAGATAATGATATAAATAGAGATGATAGATAGAGATGATAGATGATAGATGATAGATGATAGATGATGAGAGAGAGAGAGAGAGGCAGGCAGGCAGACATGGATACATATCACAAGATTAACTGGCAACAAGGTAGAATACAAACTAAACATCCAGACCCCATAAACTCAAGGCGACAACATCTGAAGACATTTGGGTCCCAACTGCTGAACACAGGCCTTAAAGTTCACCTACTGTTAGTCATCACTGAGATAATAGCCCTCCACAAAATTTGCTGTGACCTCTGAAATTGCCTCTGATACACATGGGTTTCCAACTGGCCATTGACCAACGTCTTGAAGAGGGTCTCTCAAGGCATCCAGGCCATTCTTGGTCCTTGCCCAGACTGGAAGGGACACCCACATGAACTCATGCTCCGGGGTCAAAAGGGGTCTGCAACACGACGCATAGAAAGCAGGCGGAGCTTCAAAGCACCATCTAGACTTTGTGGGGGGCGTTCCCTGCAGACTTCTTGTTGGGGAGCCGCTCTTCAAGTCTTTGAAAACTCTTCCCAAGGTGAGTCCTGGAGAGGTCCTCCAGACTGTCCCATTTTGCATGGCTTCATTGCAGAACAACAGTTGGAAGGTACCTTGGAAGTCTTCTAGTCCAACCCCTGCTCAAGAAGGAGACCCTATCCCAAGGGCCTTCAAACTTGGCAAGTTGAAGATTTGTGGACATCAACTCCCAGAGTTCCTGAGCTAACCTGACTGGAGGAGGGATTCTGGGAGTTGAAGTCTACAAGCCTTAATGCTGTCAAGTTTGAAGGCCCTTGCCCTATTCTGTTCAAATGGCCATCCAATTTTTTGGGGGGGAAATCTCCAGTGTTGGAGCATCCACAACTTCTGGTGGCAAGTTGTTCCACTGAGTAATTGTTCTCACTGTCTGGAAATTTCTCCTTAATTCAAGATTGCTTCTCTCCTCGGTTAGTTTCCACCTGTCCCCTCTTCTTCTGGTGCTTTGGAGCAGGGGTCTCCAACCTTGGTAACTTTAAGCCCGGAGGACTTCAACTCCCAGAATTCCCTAGCCAGATCTTTGCTGGCTGGGGAATTCTGGGAGTTGAAGTCCTCCAGGCTTAGTTGCCAAGGTTGGAGACCCCTGCTTTGGACATTAGCTCGACTCCCTCTTCTTTGGGGCAGCCCCTCAAATATTGGAACCCTGCTATCATGTCACCCCTAGTCTTCTCTTCATTAGACAAGTCCCTCACACGTTGCTTCACCCCCTCAAGGTCCAGGGAGTTTTCCTAACCGCTGCCTTCTCTAAACCCCTCTTGCTCTAAAAGGGGAAGGATGAGTAGGACAAGGTCTTCTCACATTTCCCCATCCCTTGGCATCAGAACATGAAAGCAGCATGGATGAATCATTAGTCACTCTCAGCAAACGGAGAAACTCTGCAGGGTTAAAGAGAGAATGGAAAGGGCATCGTAGCCAAACGTTGGAGTAGGCAACCTACGAGTGCCATCTTTGATGGTGCCAAAGCGGGTAAGGCCTGGGTGCTCTTATGGCTCAATTTGGCAAGAAAGGCAGGGTCCAAGATATTGGGCCTGGTGCTGAACGGGAGAGAAACCTACCCACCCACCCCGCAAGAGAAATGCGGATGGAATCTAAAAAAGAAGATGGCTTCCAGGCGGTAACAAGCATGAAGAACGGGAGGAGGCAGAGTGAAAATACTGGCACATTTCTTTACACAGGAGTTGTTGCGTTTGGCTCCTTCCTTCTCAAGGGTTTGCTTTCCTTGCTTTGGAAAGCGGCCCAGGTTTGACCCAGATTAGAACTGCAAAGGCTGGGAGGAGAGAGAGAAAGAGAGAGAAGATCAAAAGGTCTGCAGTGCTACGGGTGCCAGACTAAGAGCTGATTGATGGTAGCCTGACTTCCCTCGGCCAGGCAGCTCTTAGCAACCCAGCGGTGACGTTTCACTGCAACAACAGGTGAGGCCTTAGCAGAAGCCAAGGGGAATAGCAAATATTTATGGAGCAGGACAGGCGAGTAAAACCAAGCGTAAAACAAACCAAACCAGGATGTCTCTGGTGGATAACAAACGCCATCTGGGAACAAAGAGCTCGGGGTTTTTTTTTTCTCCATTCTTCTCCAATCCTTCAATCAGATCTGAACTTCCTCCTGGGAGAGACCCTATCCTTTCGGCCTCAGCTGCCCCTCCGGATGCCTTCCATGGAAGGAGACCAACATTAAAGAAGAGGATTCATGAGACTGTCATCACATGAATGGGATCACCTGATCCCGATTAGCTCTGACCGCTGGTTCAGGGCTGCTCCATAAATGGTGAATGATCTTCTCCAAGACAACGTCCTTGGCTATTGTCTTGGCACCAAACGCCACCCAATAAAAAAAAAACCCATTAAACAATGACCAACCTGAGCAACGCGCATTGGAAAGGTGCAAACGGGAATGTGTGAAAAGTTGGCCTTTGTGGGACACAACACGCCCTGTAGGTGCAAACAAGCTCACGATTGTGATACAGAAAATAGACACCCAACTGATTTTTGTCCTCGGGAGCAAAAAAACAAAACAAAACCAAGATTAAAAATAGGGTGGAAAGCGATTGTTTCTGCTTGGAAGGCTAGGAGGAATGTCCAGCCAAGGGACTGCCTTACATCTGGGCCGATCAATTTACAGCGTTCTGGAAATCTCAGGGGGTGAATTGGCCAGCTGTTTGCTTTGGGAAAGGTGAAGCCAACTGCATGGAAGTTTTAGAAAGCCCAAGAAGGTCAAGAAGAACCACTGCACTGCCGTGGCTGGACTAGAAATCCATGTTCAACTCCATTTCCAGCCATTGGATGACCCTCTCATCTCAACCTACTTCGCCATATTGCTAGGAACGTCAATCAAATGATCAACCAGAACAGAGCTGGGAGGGACTTTGGAGTCTATCTAGTCCAACCTCTTGGCTCAAGCATTTGAGACAAGTGGCTGTCCAATCTCTCCTTGAAAACCTCCAGTGATGGAGCAGCCACAACTTCTGGAGGCAACTTCTGTTCCACTGGTTAATTGTCCTCCCTCTTAGGAAGTTTCTCCTTAATTCCAGGTTGCTTCTCTCCTTGATTAGTTTCCACCCGTTGCTTCTTGTCCTGCCTTCAGGGGCTTTGGAAAATAGGTTGACCGCCTCTTCCTTGTGGCAGCCCCGCAAATACTGGAAGACTGCTCTCATGTCACCCGCTAGTCCTTCCTTTCCTCTAACTGGCCAACCCCAGTTTCTGCAGCTCTTCTTGCTATGTTTCGGTCTCCAGGCCTTGAATCCTCTTAGTTGCTCTTCTCTGCACTTTTTCCAAAGGCTCAACAATTCTCAACAAAAGCTCGACTGGAGGAGGAAGCGATGGGAGCTGTTGGAGAAAAGGAGAGGTAGAAATCCGGATCGTGATTTGACGGCAGTGATGGGACGGTCCCAAATCAGCGTCCTTATCCATCTGTCATTTCTCTACGAAAAGAACAAAGCTTTCCAAAGACTCATGGAGTGGAATCTATTGGAAAGGATTATCTGCAAAGGTTATCCTGCAAAGACTCCGGATGAAGTCTGCTATCTTTGGCACGGAGACAGGCCAAGTGGTGTCCTAAAATTAGTCTTCAGCCCTTGGTCCATCGCCCACCCTGTGCCCCTCCACGAGAACATGCCAAACACAAAAAAGGCATTCTCACTTGAAGGAGGACCTAATCCCTCAGCAACCCTGCCAGCACAAGGGTTTAATTTCCATGGTGTTGAGAAGACAACTCAACACACACAGAAGGCGGCAACCAGATCGAGTGTCTGGGGACTGTTTCTCTAACAAGCAGGACCCCACTCCCCCCAAAACCACTTGTGGTGAGGAAAGGTGGTGTCGAAGGACCCAAAGTTAATGAATAGTTGTTCCCTTGAGCTGCTGTGAACGGTTCATCTTGAGAACGTTCACCCGTCTGTTGAGGTTTGGAGGCGGAAACAGAAGGCTTGAAATTGACACACACACACACACCTAAACTTAAATGTGAGGGCAAACTGGGACTCAGAGGGAAAGTTTGAAGGGAAAGATATTTGATATCCAATGGATTCAACT